ATATATATATTAAATCGGTGTTTAATTAAATGGTACTTAAAACGAAAAAAATACTCGCTACTTGAATTCCTTTAAAAAAGACCAAATGCTAAAAAAATACTAATGTCCCACCAATGCTATCAAGCGGTCAGACGAGGAGGCAGTACTGCGTGGCTATGCGGGCGAATTGCTTACGTATGCAAAGACCGCCCGGCTCGTGTCGGGCGTAACCGGGTAGACACTCGCAGCGTTTGACGCCATTCTTGTCCGGCCTGCAACGCTCGTGGTTCTGTGGTTCACAGCTGTCCGAGTCCTGACATTCGGCTGCGTTGTCCGGCGGCAGTGTCGTCGTTGGTGGCGCTGTCGTCAAGGTGACCGCCGCTGTCGTCAAGGTCGCCGGCTCTGTCGTCAAAGTCGCCGGCTCTGTGATGATCGTCGACATATCTGTACTGCCACTGCCTTCTTCTGTGAAGTCCAGTTCCGACATGAGATCCCGTTGGACTATGTGATGCGACAGGTAGGCAATTTCATCGCCTTCTGCGTCGAGCCACAGACTAGCATCGGCTTCGCTGGAGTCTGACATTGTGTTGTCAGTGTTTACTTCTTCGCGCGCGGGAAGAGCTAAATCCACCGTATTGCCTTCCTCATGCTGTCCATGACTGGGTGGGTCCGCTAGCGGCACGTCTTCACTTGACGTTTGCTCTTGCCTATTATTCCACGATCGTTGTTTTGAAGGCGGAATATTCTGCGATGGAACTAGAAAGTTATTTTCTATGTGCGGAAGCGTTTCGCCTACGTTCCCATCGTTTGTCCAGTCGTGCACACTGTATTGCCACGCCGACATCGAGCTCATGGCTGAGATGGGTTGCTGGATATCACGCAGAAACTCTTGTCTCACAGACACTGTCTGCGCAGCTGAGATGAGCAGCACTGTAGAAAAGATATAAAATCGAACAACTTATATATTATATATCCTGTGTGCGTGCGCGCGTAAGTGCGTGCCTATATTTGCGAACAGCTACATGTCAGATTACGTATACATCTAATCGATACACACTAGGAGACCGTAACATTTCATACCTGCTGCGTTTGTGGTATCTGTATACCATAATGGTAATTGTCATGATGATTATGTAGAATGTCAAGGAAGCTCCGGTTACGGCAATAATAACTGTAACAAATAAGCATACCATTATTTTATCAATTTAAACACAAACACGATCGGACATAATTATATGTCATCCGCTATGAGAATGCACAATCTTGACATTTTAAGTGTTTCAAATAGATGCACAAAAACGCAAACGATCTTCTTACTTCCTATGTTATAGCTGCATCGGTCTCCGAGGTACCAAAATTCACACTGGCACCGAAATTGTTCGCTCGTTCCATCAGCAGAGTGATCGGCAGAGCAGACGCCGTTGTCAAGGCAGAACGCGTCTGGACAAACATCCGACGGCGTGGGCGTCGCTTCGATCGCTAGTTGACATTCCTCGCCCGGATCCACACCCCACTCCATCCCAATGCCGACATCATCGTATCCCTCTTTACACTCGCACGTGAACCACGTTTGATTGTCCCAGGGCTCGCACGTCGACGCCATGACGTCACAGTAATTGTTTCCGTCAGCGCATGCGTCGGCCGCTGCGATAGGAATGATAATCATTACACCCCCAAAGACAACAAGCCACACGGCGCTGTACTTTTGTACATTCTGTTCTCATAATTTTCATAAACGGCTTTGAAGCCCGAAGTTTCTATGTATATAAGTAACTACTATATCTACTCGTTCCTCCAGAAAGTAAGCGCGCTGCGCAAAAACTGTCAATTGAATTGTGAAGTCGAATTTTAGTTCTATTAAAGAATACGAAGAAGATATTGCCACAGCTCTAGTGAATATAGCCTTCATTACATTAAGTAAACATATTAAGGTGACTTTACGAGTACTTACTGCCTACTGAAGTGTCAACGATGTTGTCGATTGTGATTACAGTTAGGCTATCATATAAATCATCTTTTGCGAGCTCTTCATCTAGTACTTTGTTCATTTCCGTATCGGAGAACCCAGGAAACTCCTCGGCTTCGTAGTATACAAATAGGCCCGCTGTAATCTGAGAGAGTTCCGTCTGCCTGCGAGATCGCGTTTGCGAGCGACCGGTAGCCAGACTAAAGCTAGAGACTGCCGCCACCACGTACGTCACAGCTGGATGGTCTTGCCCCATCGTCTCTGATGTGAAGGCCTTTTCCATCTACGCGATCATTATAGAAAATTCAATGAGTTATCAGGCGGTAGCAACCGCCGGTTGGGAATGCTCTTGTAAGGGTACGCAGGCCGACAGGAGGTATGTAGGAGATCAAAAAAACTACGCCTAATACGGACTCTTTTTTTACCTAATACCAGGAAACTGTATTATATAATCTGGCGAATTAATATTAATACTCTAGTGATAAGACGTACTGCTCAAGCAACCTGAGGCATCCATCCCAAAATACGTAATGTATCATTATGCAACCATTATGGCAACATGGGCGTTATATAATATATATATATATATATATGCTAAATCGGCTTCAATAGTACATTAAAAAAAATTATATATTATATACCTAGCTATCTCGCAATGGTTTCTTACCAGCCTAACAAGGTCTGATTCGATTTCCTTGTAGTACGCCGAGTCAGGATTCTTCAGGCTGTCTGCCCATTCCACATCTATGAGCTCGACGACGGCTGATTTAGCTGTCACGGCTGTATAGGATACACAAACAGGAGCCTCATTTTATTCCAGCAATGCAGTTAATGGTGTTTGTAAATAAAACCAATTAACTTGAAATAAAATTGAAAATTA